CAGCAGCAGCAGCAGCAGCAGAGCGGAGCACAGTATGAAGAAGTGGGGTGGGAATATGCCAAGGAGGACGGTGTCTTTGCTGCAGGTGAGGAGAGAGTGGAGGTGCAGGCTTGAATGAGAAAGGAGAGCGGCTGAGCCCGAGGGGTAGGGTATATGAGATGCTGCAGGGCTTGATGAGGACGGGGCACGAGAGTGTGGTACGTGGTGGTGGAGACCGACGGTTGAACGGCAGGCTCGTACCCACGGGGATATCCAGATGGAGGGACCGGAACTCGACGACGGCGGCGAGGAGGTGGTGGTGATTGCGGAGGTGAGAAGGATGAAAGGGGAGATGGAGCGAGCAGGCAAGCGGCAGAGTCATCAAGGACACTGAAGAGGGGAAGAGAGAGAGAGAGTGCGTGTGTTGGCAGGCGGACGAGGGCGCTGTGGGGGAGGAGGAGCTCGAAGAACAGGGTCCAAAGGAACAAGTTTTTGCGGACGGCGACGATGGAGAGTGCGGAAGCGCAGGATGGAGCGCCGATGCAGTGAGCGGGCGGATGCATTGCAACCCATGCGAGGCGAGGCAAGGCGAGGCAAAGCAAGGCGAAGGCGACTCGAGTCGAGACAGGCCGGGATAGGCGCGGGAGGCGATGAGGAGCAGCGGGCTCTCGAACTGCATCGTGTCACTCTGTGCGCCGGCGAGGTCGACTCGACGCCATGTCGTGCCACGGCCATCTGCAGCACGCACAGACGTACAGCACGCTGCATCTCCGCGTCGAGCCGTACGTCGAGATCGCCGTTTTTACTCGCAGCTCGCTCGCAGCTGTCACTGTGACGCTGCAGAAAGAGAATGAGAGTTCAATATGACGGCCTGGATTCCATGTGACAGACAGCATTTGAGACCAGCGCCAAAGTGGCGTTTCTTTGACTCGGGAGAGAGTGAGAGACAGACAGAGACAGCGCAGAGGCGGGCGGGAGCTCAGCCGAAGATCCTGATCGACACGGCCGCGCTCCAATCCAGCAGCAGCAGCAGCAGCAGCGTTGCGCTACACCTCGCTGAGCACGCCTCGTGTGGTGGTAGAGCCGCGATGCCGAGCGGACGGCCCGATGCTACTGCAGAGTCATATCCGTGACGTGCAGTGGTGCGCCTCGCTACCGAGGGTGGCCTGGACAAAGACGATCGCAACGCCGACGTTGGGCGGTGCTGCTGCTCCCCCCGTGGGCGAGACTGAGCCAAGATCCCAATCGACGGATTCCGTGTCAACGCAGCTGTGGAATTCGATCATCTGCTGCGGGCCTAGATGCAGTCGGGCCGCATTCATGGGAAGGAAGGGCGTGCACCTCCGGCGTCTCTTTCCGCGGCCGGTCTGAGCGCCGGTCTGAGCGCAATGCAGTGTGCATCTGGCTTCCCATGCATGCAGCCGGGTGTGACTGTGTGGAAAAAAAAAGGGGATGGACCGTGACAATCACAGAACCTGCATGAACGGCCAGCTCCAGTTGCAGTTGCGGAGAGCGCCTTTGCGTTGCGGGCGGGCCAGTCGGACGCGCACCGAAAGCGCAATTTGTTCTCGTCGGCACCGCCGTCTGAAACAATCACGCGCG